TAGCATTATCAAAACTAATAGCCATAAGCATGCAAAGTATTTAAAATACTTGCAGCAATAGTTGGGCCACTATATAGCCATTCAAGCCTAGTAAAACTTAAAATTCTTTTATTCAAAAGCCAATTTTCATCAATGAAATGGCCGGTAACACAAATATAACTAATATTAAATTTGGATGTTCAAACATCCGAAGTAATTGCAACTTTAGAATTAAGATTTGCTAACAAAGAAATTAAATTTTGTTTATATGAATAAATAAAATTTAAAGCATCATTTCTTATAGTATTCCTAGAAAACTTTTTTATATTGTGGGTTTACAGAACTACGCAACCATTTTTTTAGCTTTGGATCTTCAGCTAACATAAATGGTTGTTCTGCATGTACAATATACTTAGCAAGTTCTAGTCTCATTTTTTCTTGTGAATATCTAAAAGTACCAAAACTAATCCCCCTCCCAATTTGTGTTTGGGTTGCTTCTCTCCCTTCATCTTCCTCTCGCTCATGTGTGAGCAGATGTCTGCTCAAATGACCCGTACCACCCTTGCTACAATATCTAAAGTCTTTCCTACATTTTTGACAAACGACCCTTTTCCCCTTCCCCTTAATATCCTCTATTTTGAAAATTTTTCAAACCGGGCTACTCAGCTTAGAAACCCTCCTTTTCCCATAGTACTACTACTAATGGGGGTGAGAGTTCCACTTCCATCGACATCAAACGCATTAGTGTTAACACGAATACTATCATGATGCGATTGAATGTCATCCATGGTGAACATGTTAGGGAATCGGTTTTGAGAAGGGCCAGCCATTTTTTTTTAATTCTAAAAAGATAAAAATAATCTAATTCGACTTACCTGGATTGCCGGTTTAAAATCCCAACTTGATTTCAACAGTTGAAGCCTTTCAACGTCCAAGCCTCCTGAATTGAGATACTTGAGCTGATTGAGCAAGCCTTCTTGTTGAAAGTCGAAACTTCGATAAAGTTGAGACTTGAGAATTGGAGAATGCAGAATCAGACAATCAGCTAATCAAAATTTCTCAAATTGCAGATAATTGAGAATGCATATGTATGAGAGAGAGAGAGAGAGAGAGAGAGAATTAAGAGAATTGTTGAATTGGTGTGATGAGAATGGTGGAGGATAGGACTATTTACAGGAATTGAACATAATTCAATTGCCCAAAATACCCAAAAAACTATCTATTATTTAGTTGTTGGGAGGGGTATTTTGGTCATTGTGAAGTTACTTATAACTTTACCTTAAATGCCCCCCTAAACTAATTGTTATATAGCTGTTGGGGGGGCATTTATGTCATTTTTTCAACCCCCCATAAGCAAAATATAGAAATACCCCCTTAATATGGTTGTAGCTGTTGGGGGGTATTTCTGTAAACCCCCCCAAAAGCTGAATCTAGGCCCAACGGCTATATTCTCGAGCGGGTCGAGCACGGTCTGTTACGGGCCTGGCAAGCTGTGTCGTGGCGCAGACGGCACGGCATGTACTGTCATTCCATGCGGTGCCGACCCATGGGCCTCGAACCCTTGGCCCAACACGGCACGGACCTCCGTGTCAGGCCTGGCATGGCCCGTTAGTCGTCGTGTCATGCCGGGCTGGGCCTGTCCAAAATCATGTCGGGTAGTGGGCGGCCTGGCCCAATTTACACCTCTAGACTTGGGATCAAATCCCCTTGCCACTTGGGAACAATTTCAATTACCTCATGTATTGGGTGGACAAATTTGGATTTCAACATTAATTAGTCTGGGTCCTTAGTAGACATTAGCTATTAAGTTGTGTGTGTGTGTGTGTGTGTGTGAGAGAGAGAGAGAGAGAGAGAGAGAGAGAGTGATTTAAAAATTATCTTATTAGAGAGTAAATATAGATTTTATGAGAGACAATGAAGACCCGTGAGGGATTTAATTTTGACTTGTTATATAGACAACTAGCAGTGACCCGTGCGATGCATGGGATTTTCATTAAGTTAAAGGTAAATAATAGAAACATGTAAGAGTATACAATTGTTTTATATAATAATTAATAATTATTTATATTTTATATACTAGTTTTAATAATTTTTTTATATTACAAAAATAACAATAATTAATTTTAGATAGGGTTGTTTATCAAACTTAGGGATGGCGATTTTCCCCATTTCCCTAATCCCTGTGGGGATCCGCCCTAAATGGGGCAGGGATTCGGGGCGGGGATGGGAATGATTTTCCCCATGCGGGGATGGAGATGGGGAAATTTTTATCCCCGTTGGCGGGGACGACATAGGGCCAAGGAGAGCATACTCCCTGCCCCGTAGGGACCCCGATCCCCATCCCATGGGATTCCCGCTAATATATGTATATACACATATGTTTATATATTTATTTATGTATACATACGTCTATATGTTAATATTTTTAAAAATATGGTTGAATATGTTTGAATCTTTTTTAATAAGATTATAAATTTTAATTATTATTTTTTTATTTTTTAAATAAAATAAAAACAAAAACATAATTATTGATATTATAAAGAATCACGTGGAGTGGGGATCCCCGTGGAGACAAGGATGGGGAGAGGATCCTCGTCCAATAGGCTTTGGTTCAACAATTTCCTAACCCGAATGGGTTGGATTAATTTCGCTTTAGCCATTTGTAAGCAGACTAAAATCGAATTACCGGACCATAAATATTTATTAATATTATATATTTTAATATATTTTTGTAATACAGGAAAGTATGAAAATTCCAATATTTTCTAGGCTAAAATATTTTATATCATAAATTTAATTTTTAAATTTATTTTTTAATAATGCCATTGTAATTTTTTTTTAATTTAAACTTAATTTTTAAATTTAATTATTTTAAGTTTAAATCTTTTGAACTGACTAACCAAACCAAAAATTAACCCAAACCGATATAACCTGAGTGACCAACTCCCCAACTTGACCACGTCGATTTGGTTGGCCAAACAACTTACAACTAAACTGAACCAACCTGTGAACAATAGTTTAATCTCCAATAATTATTAAAAATTTATAACGAAAATACACAATAAATGAAATTTAAAAAGCTAAATAACAGTAGTTTAAAATCCAATAATTATTGAATTTTTTTTATTAAATAACAAAACAAAAATAGATTTATACATAATTATTGAAAATATATTTATCACAGAAAACAATAAATAATTAGTAAAATACAATAAATATTAATTTTAGTATATATTAATAAACATTATTTTTTTGAAAATTATTTTCTAGAATTATTAATTGGTATAAATGAAATTAGTTATTTACAATATTATTTACTTATTGGAATAATATCATTGTTTAAATTTTAAAATATTAATTACTAGTTGAATTTAATATTCCATAAAATTATATTACTATTAATTTTGTTATTTTAACTATTCAAAATCTAGCTATGTTAAATATTTCATCATTTAAAATATTTAGTTATTTAACTAAATATTTAAAATCTTAATCTATGCATTATAGTTGAAAGTTATTCAGTAAATATTTAAAATATATTATTAATTGATTTAAAACATCAATTTTAACATTTTGTTATTTAAGATATTTAGTTATTGAAATATTTAAATAATATTTCACTTTTAATGTTAGATTTTTCTTATTTGAATAACATTTGGATTGAATAATCCAAAAAATCATAATTTATATTATTTGTACATAATTTCGTGATGGATTTTGTAAAAATATATTATTATTAATAATATGAATATTATTATAGCGATTATAATTATTTTTTGTCTTTTTAATAAATATTTTAAAGTTTTTATATAATTTTGTTAGAATATTTAAATAATTCTTACATTTTTTAATTCAAACTTTCTTTATACAGATGTAGATAAAAAGTGGGGGAGAAGATAAATAAGAATTAAAAGATAATTTAGGAGAAAGTTGGGGATAATGGGGGAGATTGTTTAGGAGAAATTTAGGATATTAGATTATTTAGGTTATTGGAACATGTGGGAGAGAGAGAGAGGTTTTAGAAATATTTTTTTAGGGGAAAGTATAGTTTCTAATTGGTAGTTTCAAAAAATGACATGGATTAAAAAATTAAAAAATTCAAAAACAGGAGAAAATTTTTAGACTTCCTTGTACATATATATATATATGGTAAAAAGGGAAAATTTACGATTAGTACCCTGTACTTTGTGCCTATTGTCAATTTGGTCCCCGAACTTTAAAATACGACAATTCTGTACCGAAATTTCAAAGCGTGACAATCCAGTACCTACCATTAATCAGTAGTTAACCTGCCGTTATGTAACATTTGAAAAGAACACAAATGCCCTTCAAGTGTCATTTAATTTTCTTTATCAACCATCTAAACGTTGACAAAAAATTAGCAGTCTCAAATCAATGTTTGAGTGGACATTTTGGTGACCCCAACTTTCTTGAATATAAAAGGCAAGGATTTGGGATTACTAATTTTTCTGTTAATGTTTGGATAGTTGATAAAGAAAATTAAATGACACTCAAAGGACATTTGTATCTTTTTAAATTGTGACTTAACGACTGATTAACAGCTAGTTAATGGTAGGTACTGGATTGTCACATTTTGAAAGTTTGAGTAATAAGTTGTATTTTAAAGTTCGGGACCAAAGTAACACTAAACCCAAAGTATGGAGTACTAATCGAAAATTTTCTCTAAAATAAATATGCATATTTATGACAAAAGGAGGAGAGGAATTAGATATGGGTTCTATGATGAGAGGACCCTGCACCTCCCCTCTTTCATCTTTCTATTATATACATAGATGGAATCATGGAACGAAAGCCAAATCAGTAAGGAAAAAGGTTACATATTTTGTTCAAATGAAGGAAAAACATAGATGATTAGTTATTTAGTTATAAGGAGCAAGGTAGAGAGTGCAACAAATAATTGTCAATTTCAAGCGACCTTATCATCTACGCCAGACGGCAGTCCCACAGACCACAAATAATTCTTGGCAACAACAAAAAAGTCATGCTGTCAATCTCAGACCAAAACAAGTCCATGTTTCTTACTTTTCTTTTATCTATTCCTCTCCTTGTTCCTTTCGCTCAACTGCAGCAGATAAGTGCAAAGCTTGTAATTTTTAGCAACTCAACTCATACTCCCAGAGGTATGTCCATGTTTCTTCCTTTTCTCTTAGCTCTTCCTCTCTTATTTCTTGTGTTCCTTTCACTGAAGAACATCAAAAAAGGTTATGAAAAGCCAAGAAACAATAAAAATCTTCCACCAGGTCCTCCTAAACTTCCTTTTATTGGGAACTTACACCAATTTTCAACTACTTCATCCCTTAATCATCGAAGGCTGCACCAGCTTTCTATGAGATATGGTCCGCTYATGTCTCTGCAACTTGGTTCCAAACCAACAGTGGTGATTTCCTCAGCAAGAATAGCAAGGGAGGTCCTGAAAACTCATGATCTCGAATTCGCCAGCAGACCATCCTTTGTTTGCCAGCAAAAACTGTCTTATGGAGGCCATGACATTGCTTTCGCGCCCTATGGTGAATGCTGGAGGGAATTGAGGAAGATATGCATTACTGAGCTGTTTAACACCAAGAGAGTGCAATCCTTTCGGTGCATAAGAGAGGATGAGATTTTTCAATTGATCAAGTCGATTTCCGGCCAGTTAGCCGCTTCCTCCAGTACTCCTGTCAATTTGACAGATGTCGCACTTGCTCTTTCAAATAACATCATCTGTCGGATTGCTTTCGGCAAGACATTCCAGCATGAAAGTTGCTATAAGTGTTCTTTTTCTCAACTCCTCAAGGAAGCTCAGGCCTTGTTCGTTAGCTTTGCTTTCGCTGATTACTTTCCATCTCTAGGGTGGGTGTTTGATATTCTGAGCGGACTACCTCGTAGACTCGAGAGGAACTTCCAAGGCTTGGATTTGTTTTACAGCCAAGTCATCGAGGAGCACCTTGATCCTAAGAGGCCGAAACCTCAGGAAGAAGACATCGCTGATGTCTTGCTTCGAATGCACAAGGATCACTCAAGCTCGCTTCATCTCAAAATGGAACACATCAAGGCACTGTTCATGGTAATTGTATTATACGACTACTTTCTCCTATTATGCCCCTTGTATCTTGAGAAAAAATGCATGTTTTTTTTGTCTCAACCAAAGATTACCAAAGATTAAAGTATTGGTATAAGGTATTGTATTGGATATTTCGGATATAGATACCGATACGAATACGTTTTGAAAACGCATGGATACGTTAGTAAAATACATACGAATTTTCATAAATATATTAATAGCACTAAATTTAAGATCAAAATGATCACAAAATAGTATGTAAATAAATAAAAAATATAAATATTAAGGATACATATGAAGAAATATATTACGATTAATGAACTGGGATACATAATTTTATTTATAGCACCAATCAAGAGTCTAAGACACTAAACATATGCACTTATTATATTTTAATTATTATATCAATTATTTTTTATTTTACTATTTTATTTTTTTAATATTAAGAAAAAGTCAATTAAATATTAAATTTTCAAGTGCAAATTAAAATATCAATTAATAATTTATAAAATTATAATCTTAACTTAAAGTATATCAAATTTGTTAAAATTTCTAAGATGCATATCATATACAAATTCATAGTTTTTAATTACTAAAATAATTGTTCCATTATTAATATTTTTATTTATATAAATTTCATGAAATAAAAAATCATTTTTTGAAATAAATATAGATTAGTTGATTTGATAGATTCAGTTTAATATTATATTCTTCAATATTTTGTATATAATATTTTTATTTTTTTTGTAAATAATAAATATGTTGTTGTTACTTGTTAATGTAAATTAAAATAATAGTTAATAACTAATAAAAGTATATAAAAATTTTAATATTTATATCATGTACAAATTTATAAATTTTAAGTATTAAAATAATTATTGTATTATTAAAATTATATTTGTATAAATTTCTTGATATAAAAAATCATCTGTTTTATATAAATGTAGATTTGATACATTATTTGTATAAATACTATTTTTAAATATTATTTTTAAAATTTTTAGTTAGAATTGTTAAATATAAATATGCATTTTTTTATTTAAAATAAATGTGAATAGAAAATTTTAATAAAATTTATTTTATTTTACTTTATATCACGAAATATAGCATGACTTATTGGTCTCGAATGTGCAATAGAATATTTTTATAGCTGGAACAGACACAACCGCTGCAACCGTGGTTTGGGCAATGTCGGAGCTAGCTAAGAAGCCGATAGCGATGAAGAAAGTACAGGATGAACTCAGAAGTCTTGTTGGAAATAAAGGGCACATAGATGAAGATGATGTCAACCAACTTCATTACCTCAAGTATGTGGTGAAAGAGACATTGAGACTTCATCCTCCGACCCCTTTGCTGCTTCCACGTGAAACAATAAACCACTGTAAAATTGATGGGTAYGATATTTATCCCAAAACTCAGGTTTTTGTGAATGGTTGGGCAATTGGGATGGAACCCGAAATATGGAAGAACCCAGAAGAGTTTATACCAGAAAGGTTCATAGATGGGTCTGTTGATTTCAAGGGTCAACATTTTGAATTTATACCATTTGGATCAGGTCGAAGGATATGCCCGGGGATGCATGTCGGAGTTGCTACTGTGGAGCTTATCCTTGCAAATCTTCTGTATTCATTCAACTGGGAACTTCCTGACGGGATGAAGAATGAAGATATCCACATGGACGAACTACCTGGTATTACAGTAAAAAAGAAAACTCCTCTTCTCCTTTTGGCCATCAATACATATAATGAATTTTGATGGGCGCTTCTTCAAATATAACTAATGGTAGATTTGTCATTCTTGTTTTCTGCAACTGGTTGTGTGTGGAGAGCTTTCTCCAAAAAGTTGTTATACATGCATGGGGTTTGCTCCACCACAGGGGTTTTAATTAATATTATAGTATAATTTGCATTAATTAAGCATTACATGAACATGAATGTTGAAGCCGAATGAACTTATTCTTCCATAAATGTCCATTCTATTTTAAAACATCTGTCTTTGGAAATATAAACATTTTGATAAAAAGTAATTTTATGAGTATTTTCGACATTTTCATGAGGATTCTAATAATTGGCAATTATGTCAAAAATTTTAAGGGAGGTGATTACCTTTTGTTCTTTTCTTTCAGTCACATATTCTTGACTTCTTGACCATTTCCACGAGAGAAGCATCTTTGTATGGCTAAAAGTTTAAAGTTGTTGGAAATTGGAAAAGAAATGCTTTATTGACTGTTATGTTTGTGCTTTTAATTTTTTGTAGCGATCCACTACATGAATTCTCTCCGAATTAATTTGTGGTGGATCCAACCTATATTCATCTTATAGGTCCGACTGAATACGAAGAATTATGTATTTTGGGGGGTTTTCTCTTTTGTACATAGAGTCTGAGTCTTGTGAGAGACGAGTAAGATATTGGGTTTATTTGGGGCTTAGGGTTTTCTGTGAAAGCACAACTCTGTATTTCTTGTCCATTACCAACTTCATAATAGATTTCTGTTCCTCCTTCGCCCGTGGACGTAGGCTATAAGTCGAACCACGTAAATCTATGTATATTCTTTGTGCTTGTTTCTCTTTATCTTTGTTTTACTTTCATTTTGAGTGTCATTCAAATCTGTTTTCTTGAGTTTTTCCACAACATTGACCTTCCAAAAATAAGTTGTATAGGAATGCCTCATTAGAAATTGGATTTTCTCCTCGCAAAGCACACTTCACAGTTCACACCAACTTCAAGGCCCATTGCTATCATGCATTCGATCATCTCCCATTCTTGTAGTGTATCATTCATGGGAAGACGTTATTAATGCATAGCTGCAGTGGGCCATAAGGCACATTGGCTAAGCGAGGATCAAATCTGAATTTCGCTCCCCAAAGCAATCCATTGAATTGTTTCTTTTTAATTTTGCTCCCCAATGTCCCCAAAGCACATTGGCTAAGCGAGGATCTAAAACTCATCATAACTTTTTTGCATTTCTCTTAAATGTTAATATGACTTTTCAAAACCTCTAGAGAACCCACAGTTTTATTATCCAAAACTCAACTTCCATTAAGATTTCCATTAAATCACCATTAGTGATCATTAATATAGAAGTTGTCTATATAAGCACTTGAGTATTTTACATAACCAAATTACCTCTGAATGGTCAATCAAGCTTATTAAACATTTTCATGACAAAATTACCCCTGACCCAAACCCAGACCTACACTAGGCCCACAACATTCGGAGGTAATTTTTGTCATAAAAGATATTTAATAAGATTGATTGATCATTCAGATATAATTTGGTCATGAAAAATACCGAAAATGCTTATGTAGGAAACTTTTATTAATGATCACTAATGGTGATCTAACAAAAATCTTAATGAAAGGTAACTTTGGACAATAAAACTCACTGATTGGGCATTCTTTGGAGGTTTTGAAAAGGCATGGTGAGTTTCAAGCCCCGTCGCTTTTTGATAAGTTACTTACCCGAGTAAGTGCATTTATCCATGTCTTTTTATTTTGCATGTAAATAAGGCAATGACCATTTTAGCCATAAAAATCCATTATTGAAAGAGAATTTTTGTCTCATACCAGTGTTGGCAATTTCCCTTGGGTGGAAAAGTTATTTACCCAACTAGGAGATGGGTATCACTTACCTAGGTAAGTGAAACCTAAGAAAATAAACTTTCCCTAGTCTCACATAAATTTGATAAAAGAAGGTGGGTTTCTTGGTCAATGGGAATAAAAAATCCATTGACCAATTTTCCCCCTCTCAAAATCCATAAAAAAATGCCCCTTAAGAGAAATGCAAAAAAGTCAATATAAGTTTTGGATAATATCTCTTATTTTTTTATTTTATTCTATTTTATTATTTTGGTATTATATATTGCACTACGGGGGAATCAAGCATGGGGACAGAGCAGGATGCATGTGAGCCCAGTCGCCATACCATGAACATGGGAGTGCCTGTGGTTCCATGGGTATGATCACACGCCACCTAATTTGGAGGGATATTGCGACATGGGAGTGACTATCTCAACTAGATTCATTGGCGACACTGAATTGTTATTTAACTAAGAAATTTGAAAGAGAAAAGCACTTGTTTTAGGCTGTATCTTTTTAGGCAGTTAAGCACATTGCCACCAAATAGCAGTTTTATGCTTTAAGAACTAGATCGGGAGGGCTTTCATGAAGCATCTTCTAGCTTTGCAAGGTGAGTCCCACCCAAACAGCTTATAAGCCATGTTTGTGAAAACTCTGAAGAGCCCAAATGGCTATCTGAAATCTAAAAATATGGCTTTCAAACTTCTTTTAGTGGCTTCTACAAAGTAGCTCAACCAACGCTTCAGCCCTCTCAAATGTGCCTTATGTGTTCGACTATGATGCGAGGGAGGCTTGATACAAGAAAAAAAAAAAAGTTGCAACCAATTGACTGGTATAATAAAAGTGGCATCCAATAAGGTGGTATTCCTGGACAAAATAATGTTCTTCAGCTTTAATGCCCCTAGTAGGATTAGGGAATCCTGTATTCTTGCTCAACTCAAACTATTATTGCAACTTGTAACAAGCTGTGATGGGATTGTTTGAGGCCAAAAGCGCAAAACTGTTCGTTGCTTCCACAACGAAGTTCTACTCTTATAATTTCAACTCCAAACCATGAAATGGGCCTAAATTGAATTGGATGAGACTGACCCAGGATATAATATTTCAAATCAAGGTTAGCAGTTCAACCATGTGGGTCAAATGGATCAACCCGTAGTGTCAAACATTTGAGAAATAAATCCCATTCCAAATGCATATTTTAATTTATAATAGATAAATATCATAAGGTTTATATTGGATGGATTGAACAATAAAGTTTATAATATGTGATCCTATGAATAATCCCACTAGAATTTATCTTTAAAAGCCTAACTATTAGCCTATTAGCTAAGACTAGGGGGGGAGGGGGAGAGAAAGGTATTGATTGACAGTTAGATAGCATTAGCTTTTATACAGAAAATAGTTTTCAATTTCAAAATCTAAACTTTACATAAACCCTGATTGAACGGGTTTAGCAGTTCGACCACCTAAGTCAGCGGATTTTTGATGATTTCAATGTTTTTTTTCATAAAAAGCGGTTTATGACCAGTTCCTGGATCAAATGGTTTGACTGTCCGATCCGATCCGGTTTTTGTTGCCAACACTTTTTAATGGCGCCTAAAATAATATACATAACAACAAACATTCTAAGCTTCAAACTGTAAATAACCGCCGTGGTCCCTTGTACCTAACCTCAGAGTTGCATCACTCCCATTTTCAATAGCAGAAAGCCAGGCTGCTTCGTTCTCCAGTCCTGATTAAAACATCTTCGTCCCAATTCTTGAGCTCAAAAACTACTTAACCAAAGAGGTTAACCTCAGTTGCATCACTCCCATTTTTATTAGCAGAAACTCAGGCTGCTTCGTTCTGTCCTGAGTAAAACATCTTCGTCCCAACTCTTGAGTTCAAAAACCACTTAACCCAATAGGTTTAAAAGTTGTTAGCCAATGCATACAGGTGAGTTTTGATGGTCAAAGATCTTCGGGTACCATGTCTTTCCGGCATCATAGAATTTCCTATTCTGGAACTCAACACGAACGTCACACAAATCATAGAAGTGAGTGACTTCATTTCCTTTCTTTTCTAGTACAAACTACAAAGTTTCCAAAATACAAAAATTACAGTTCAATTTTAACAACCCATGTACACTTTATCTCATACTCTCATTTATCATCGAATCAAATGCAATGTAAAGCCAAAAAGAGATCCAATTGGCTCAAAGACCCCGGGTATCAATGCATCTCTTTCCCTTCCTTTCCCTACCTTTGCTTTCGAACCACGCACAGCCTAAAGGCTAAAGGAGAAAAAAGGGGGAAATAAACATAAACAAGAAAAGGTAATCCGACTTTCCCTCGGTCTCCAATAAAAGAATACTTATTTACAAAAATAAAAACTCCAATCAGGTTAGTTCAGCGTTAAGCAGTAGGGATTTTTCTTTTTGAGCCATCTTGCAAAGCATAGCCACGACTAGTCGCTCCTACGTCAGTTGTTCCAGCAAACGGCTTTACAGATGATCTAAGTGACTCTGGACCCTCTGTAGCAATTCTTTTGCACAACTCATCACAACTATTGATTACCTCGGTCAGCCTTCCTTTCAACTCTCCGACCTCCACCTGCAACGGCTGAACTGCACACCATTTCCCATATAATACTAAATTTAAACAACATTTTGTTGCTAAAGTTTCCATAAGGGAAACATAAGTTAAGTGGCACAAGACTTGAACCGAGAATGCCTCATAAAAAGGGTCAAAAGACATGAAGCACATTGGGAAGAGATGCTCCCTAAACGGAAACAATCAACCTCCAAATTTCTGGAATTAGGATGATCAAACGAAATTTCATCATGTTTCTAACCAACATAATAAATTCCAGTCTTGAAATATCTTATTGTTTTCAGTTTCAGCCCCTAAAAAGAAACACTAAAATTTTGGACATTCAAAAAGCTAGGTCAGAAGACTAAACCATTGAATATATATTATATATATACTAGAGAATGAATTGAGAAGTCTTTCTCTGCTTCACGTTGGCTTTGCAATCCTCCCTATTGTTCTTACTTGTACACAAGGACCCACAAACCAATGTGCATGAGTCAACATATGAATATGATACAAATCCAGCAAATTATTACTCAGTTCATATGCACTCATGTCAATTCATAGTTATGTATGCAAGCAACTGCACTAGATCAACTGATTAAATTGGTCAAAATCCAAAAGGTTCAACAATTGCATGACCAATTGACCATAATTTCAATTAACCCTAGACACTCTGACAACTCAAGTGTGTGCCTTCTAATCAGATGGCACAGATCCCAACTTACATGATTTCCTTTAAAAATAACCTTTTTACTATGGCCCATGAGTCCATCCAAGCTCTTCTCAATTAATTTAGACTGAAGAGTCCCCCTCCCCCCAACACTGGTAACCAATCAACCGGTATCATCTAAATGGTAACCAATCAACTGGTTGTTCATTCAAATTCATGTGGGTTTACCATACCTTTCCGGTACCTATAGAAATTGCCTATAAAATAATACAAGAAAAGCAGGTAAAATTAGAGGGTTTGCAAAATAGTAAAATCTTGGGCTAACAAGCCTGAGAACTCAGATTTGAATCTAAGAATGGTCATTTCGAATAAGAGGATACCTAAGGTAAGGCCAGCATCCAGTCCATCCCTCCCAAGACCCCAAACAGCTGGGACCACCATTGGGTAATGGCCCTAGAAGCAGGTAAATTACCTTCAAAGAGATGATATGCTGTTGTCCTCATAATTGACACTGAGAAATTAAAATGCTGAAGAACTTTGACAGCTAAAGCATCGGCCACTTCTATTTTGTTTTCCATCTCCCCCTGCAACAATTAGTAGCAAATTGCAGCATCATTCATTTTACTTTACAAATCTCCTAGTTCTTATAAAGAGTTATACCAAACAAACTGAATTTCCTAGTGATTATGCGATTACTTTTTTTTTGTCCTGGGTACAGACAAGCAGACTTTGCACACTAAACTGATGAATCAAGAAAAGGATCTTGAGAATAGAACTACCAAAAAATTGTCAAGAATCTTATGTTAAAACAACAATACAAAAATGCTTCACGAGATAAGCTTGTTGTCAAATAATCACAAATGTCTATAAAGAAACCACTTCTGTGGAAATTTTAATTCACACCACATCAAATTTGAAGGATCATTTAATCACTTATTTATTCTCAGAATAAGAAAATTTAGCTAAAATGCATGATGAGCCTGAAACAAATTATTTACTTGGCAGCAATCAGAACCCACATGCCATTTGAGTTGTCCCCCTAGATGGCTACTAGTATGCATCCAGATGTGTAACATGAATCATCATGAACCTCATATGTAAAGTGTGCCCCAGGCTACAGAATAACAACTTTTACATCTCCAAATCAATGTTTTAAAACCCATCCTAGAGGTTGAACCATTTTTCCCTCTGGGTCATGGAAGCATCCAGGTCAACGGGTCAACCCATGAAATGTAGTAACTGGATTGACAGGTCATTGACCACCAGCTCATAGTTTTTTTATAAAATGGTGATTAGACGTTGACCCAAACTGGAATTGTGACCAGGGTAGCAGGTCAACTGATCTGACTTGGCAGGTCAACAATGGGTTCAAGATGCTGTTTCCAATATGTAATTATAGAAAAAGCACCTGTCTCTGGCTGATTTTTTTGGCCTTACAATCATGGTATATGGAGAAGAGTTCCAACAGCACCTCAGGATTTAAAGTACCTGTTGCAACAAACACTTGAATTACAAGAACTACTCAACAAAATTTCCCCAATGGTCATTTTAAAGAAAAGAAGCAATGTAGAACTAAAAGACAATAAGAAAACAGCATGAAGTTAATAATCACACAATTTGGGACCTTAAAGGGCAAAAATAAATAAAGTAGATAGAATACCCTAGGAACAAATTATGGGAGCTCTGACCACGAACAAGAAACATTAGAAGAAGAGATTTGCATCAATGGTGACTAGATAAGACAATGCTTCGGGACTAACCATGCTTGCAACATATTGTATATGAGGATTGAAAATTGAGACAGGCTATTAATATTCAGAGAATATCCAGTTAACTAGTGAGATTAATCAGTAATAAATCAGAAATATTCATCACCATCGTCATCAGCCAAGCCTTATCCCAACTATATGGGGCCAGCGACATGAATCCTGTTTTGCCAGTCCATTCTGTTTGATGCCATATCCATTGTTAAATTATTGACACTTAAATAATTTCTTACTTCTGTGCATTTCCTTTTTGGTCCACCCCTCTCCCTTCTAGCCCCTTCAACTTGTAACAAATTACTTTGTAAGGGTTCTGTTGATGGTCTTATATGCACATGACCAAACCATCTTAGCCTACTTCTCTCATTTTATCACTTATTGGAGCTACTCCTGAGTTCCTACGAATGACTTCATTTCTGATCCAAGAGGTAACTCAATGTGACATCATTTATTACCTTGATTTGATAATCCATAACAAGGGACAGATTGAGGAGGATGTTGCTCAAAGAACTAGAGCACAATGGGCAAAATGGAGGGCTGCATCTATAGTCCTATGTGAGAGGAGAATACAACTTAGGCTAAAAGGAACAGATATGAGGCCGGCAATGTCATATGGAGTTGAGTGTTGGGCAGTCAAGAAATAACATGTCCAAAAATAAGTATGGAAAAAATGCAAACATTAAGAAAGATAGAGTGGGAAAACCAAAAATGATAGGATCAGGAAAAAAATCTCATTCAGAGGAACCTGAGAGTAACTCCAACAGGTGATAAAAGAAGGAAAAATAGACCAAGATGGTTTTTGGTCACATGCAGAGAATATTATTTACAACACCAATGCAGTGGAAAGAAGTGATCTCTTACAGATTGAAGGATCTGAATAAACTAGGGGCAGACTAAAGGGCATGGGTTGAAATAGTGCCCAAATAGAGGCGGCCCTGTATCATTAGAATAGAGTGGAATTGCAGAACAGGATTCATGTAGGCAACCCCATATTATTGTGGCAAGGCTTAGTTGAGTTGAGATATTTGAGCAATTATGAACTTTCATTAAATATTATTTATTTATTTTTATTTTTCTAGTAAAGAATAAAAGCAAAAAAAATCCTTCTTTATATTTTTAGGGAAAACAGCCAATTTGGTAATACCTTTTCAAAGCAAAAAAGGACATAGCTCTTTTATTCTTTTCACATTTTAAAGCACAAAAGCAGCCTTTGGAAAGGGAAAAAGAAAACAGTGGCCTAGAGATGCTAGATGAAAGATATAAATGTATAAAAGCAACTTGATTAATATATTTCTGACATTTCAAGGACAAGATAATCTAGACAACCTCGTCATAAATCTTTGTTGTGCTTTTGAATTGGCCATATACTATAAAAAAATGCCCAATAAACTTAGAACATCTGAAATATTACATGAAATTGACATGTAATCCAACAAGGTTCAATTTTCTCAAAGAATGCTTTTTAGCTCCACTCAACATTTTGAAGGCTGAAGTAGACAATGAAGTGCTCATCTCAAGGAAATGGGTTGAGACTCTGATATATTGGGTTGTCTAGGTCATGGAAATAAATAACGCAAAAAACTGTAAACAATAACAAAAAGCATTTCAAGAATGACAACATCAATACCTAATAGGATTACTGGTTGATAGTGAACGTTTCAACCATCCAATTGATCCAAAAAAAAGTTTCAACCATCCAATTGATCCAAAAAAAAGTTTCAACCATCCAATTGATCCAAAAAAAAGTTTCAACCATCCAGTCCAGTTGGAACTTAAAATTTCCTCCATCCTCCTGAACCTGACATTTTATAAAGTTTAAACAAATAAATTTGGGAAGCAAGGGAGATAGACTGAAAATACCATCCCCCATTGGATGGGATTACTAAACCCTACATGCTTATCATACCTGTATCACAGTATCAGGCATGATACTTACAACACGGCACTGGATATAGGATGGGCACTTGTAGAGTGTATCTTATAACACTTCCAAAAGATGTAAAAGGACGTATTTTTGCCAAATCATACTAATATATGCTTTAAACTCTTGTATTGACTACTATATGCTAGACCACGATAAGGTTTATGCAATTCATCAAAAGACAAAAAAAAAGGATAAAGCTTAATAACCACCACGACAAGAAGTCAAGAACAACGACCACAACAGAAACCTCCTTCTCAACAACAACAACGGCAGGAGTACAGGACCTAAAAAAGAAAAAGGATAAGGTTTATGAACGCCTAGAAGTCCAATGAAAAAACAGAAACAAGCACTTATATTCCTATCAAGTAAACAGAAAAAACCAATCAAAACTATCTTTAAAATCCACTTGTTAAAATTCATTTATCTGACGAATAAATAAAAATATACATATATATATATATATATATAGAAAGGAGGATTAGTACACAATAATTTAGAAAAAAAATGAAGTAGAGCCCCGAACTTTTAATCCCATAATTTAGTCAGACAACTTCACCTGGAACCGAAGACGATGAGGACTTCCACATAATAATATCAGTCAAACTGTTTTTCACAGGAGAAGACGTGAGTATCGGCGTTGCCTGACGTGAACCAAAACAATATCCGGAGACATGCATCATCCGAACAATTAAAAGTTAAAACCCTACGAATGAAAGGAAGCAAGAAAGCAAATACAAAACTAAAATAAGACTCACGATTTTGAGAGATTTGAGGCGTTCAAAGAGGGGATCTACATCCTCTACTCTCTCGGAAACGATGGTGATTTTGTCGACGGGCTCCTAAAGGATAATTAGCAGACTATCGGAGCTATAAAATAAGAAATTATAGAGGGGCAAAAACAGAGAGAAAGTATACCTGCGACTGTGAAGTTGAGAGAGTGGATTCTGAAGAACCCATGTTAATGTGTGTCGATTGGATTCTAGCGAACGCTCTGCTAAGGGATCCAGATTCCAGATTTGGTCAGGACACAGGAGGGAAACCCAAACAACATGTATTAGTGAGTAAACGTATTTGTCACCTTTGGGCTCTGGCGGGAACGGGAATAACTGCAACCAGTGGAAACCGGAAGAATTCAAGGCAAGGGAGTAACTAAGTTTAGACCAGGAAATATATAGCCTTTGCCAAATTCCATCTCCAAGCTATTGGTACGCTGGGGCTCTGGGCCGTAGGCCCCATGGGCCCACGTTAGAAATTCAGATGTCCCCACGGTGCGGCACCAGCACGGGTCAGGTCTGATGCTGAAAGCTTCAGCAGCAAAACTCGGTGTTGAACTGCTGATTCGTGAAGCGCGCTGGGGTGCATCTCTTCTCTTCTCTACTCCAGAGTTGATTGTAAGAAATGTATCTCGTCAAAAATTTTGGCAACCTATACTTTGAAACGAAACCGTTTTAGCAATCGATTTTTACGTTAACGGTTCAATTGTTCGGTCCATGGTTTTTAAAACCGAACCGGTCAAGGCACCGTTTTCCGGTTCGGTAGTTCAACCATCCGGGTCGAACGGTTCAACCCGTGATGTCATAAATAAATAAAAAACAAAAAAATACTTATATAATAAAAAATACTATAGAAATTTAAATAAAATACAAAAAAATATAAGAAAACGAACAACATATGAAAAAATAAAAATATCTAAATATAAAAATAATAAAATACAGAAAAAATTCCAAAAAATACAGAAAATTTTCCAAAAAATATAGAAAATTTTCCAAAAATTATAGAACAAATTTGTAAGCAAGAATATGTAATGAGCACCTGTTTTTTGAGAAGAAAAAAGCATATCAGTTCAGAAAAAAATTATCTGAACATATTTTTGAGAAGAAAGCATAAATTTCATATCAAAACATATTTTGAGAAGAAAAAAAATAAAGAAAATTCAGAAAAATATAGGATGAGACCCTGTTTTCTTCATAGGAAACGAAGAATAAGAATGATAGAAGAAGAAGAATGTGTTCATTTGATAAAATTTAAGATATTCCTTGCTTATCCTAACTAATGAGAGTTTTATCCTAACAAATGAACCAAAAGAATTCAAAAAATCAATTAAATCACAAAAAAAATCAGAAAAAAAAATTATACCTTCAAGGATTCGCAGTTGTGGGCTCGGGCAGTCCGCTACTGCAAGTCGCTCGCCATCCACCGTTGCAAGTCGCCGCTGCTGCAAGTCGCTCGCCGTCTGCTGCTACAAGTCGACGTTGCAAGTGCTTGGGTGACTCTTTTCACCGTTGCAAGTTTGCTGGTCACCATCAGATGCCGGAGTTGATGGCCATCGCAGGTGGTAGGGTGTGAGGGTTGAGACTTGAGAGGATTGAGGAGTGAGGAGGGAACTCGGGAACCCTAAAGGCTAAACCGAATAAGGGACTGGGATTGGGATTCGAAAATTGAACTGATTGGGATATAATTAGCATTTTATTTTTTGTTTTTTATTTAAAATATTAAAAATAAAAATATTAACCCGCGAACCGCTGTTTGGGTTGAACAATTTAGCGGTCCGACCGCCTGGGTCAGTGGTTTTTTTTTTAACTTTTCAACGCTTTTTTTTTCAAAATTCCGGTTTTTAGTAAAACCGGACCCGGATGGCTGACCAGTTACCAGTTTTCCGGTCCGACCATCCAGTCCGATTTTGAAAACCATGGTTCGGTCTGAATACACCAATCCATTGCAATTAAAAATATTAAAATATAAAACAGCCAAAAACAGTTATCCAAATCGATAGTTTGATTACCCAGATCAGCGGGTCATTTACTAAATCAACAGGTTTTGACGAAAGAACAATTCAGGGAGTAAAATAGAGCTAATTGCATGATTGGTTTTCATGCTACCTGTACCATTCAGGTCAACAAAAGTTCGAAAACCATAATAGAAATTTATACAAAATATGAAAAATACATCATATAACAACTTTAATGCTTTATATGTATTAATACATAATATAAACATTAAATATATTAATGCGATAATATAAATATACAATTAAAAGTAAATATATAAATTAACCTTATATAATTAAATTTAACTTTTAAGACTTACACTTCAGACAAGTATTGACATGAATATTAATATTTATATATATTAAACAGTCAAAACAATGATAGGATCTCCTTAAAAAATGGTCAATCAGCGGTTGGTGTTATGATTAGAGAGTATCTAAGGTAAGGTATTATTGTCATGCTCTAAAGTTATTATCGAAGGTGATGCTAAGTTGATTATTAACCTTCTATTGGGTGGACACTTGTGAACCACCGTGGCGTATTAGAACTATTACCGTTGGTTGCACGAGTGCTCTCTCTCGTTTGAATCCTAGCTCGATGAATCATGTTCGCAAATCAGCAAATAATGCAATTCAACTTTCTGCCGAATATAGCTTATTGTTACAAAGATCTCTAGTGAAAGTTGAATTAAGATCTGAAATTAAGTTTTACGAGATTTTAAGAGATAGGAAGAAGATTGGGTTGGGCCCGATTCAAAGTTGGGTTAGAGTTGAAAGAATTTAGTTAGGGTTAGGGTTAGGGTTGGGTAGGTCGGGTTGGGTTAGGGTTAGGGTTGGGAGTTTAGAACTTAGGGTTAGCCTCAATTCGACCTAACCCGGCCTGACTTACAGCCCTAATTTGATGTTTGGGTTTTGGGTTTCACCGAACCACTTAGGTTCAAACTGGTTAGACCAACTTGAACTATCTAATTAGACTGTCTTCGAACTAATTACATCAAGAGTGGTTGAACTGTTTGGATTCGGATCAGTCCGGTCAGACCAAACTAGACCAATTCAGTCAATGACGGATTGACTTGGACTAGCCCATATCAGGTTTGCGCACGAGTTTGGGACTGAACCAACTAGCTCGAAATAGGTCAAGGGATGTAAATCGGACCTGTACGAATTCGGGTCAGGTTGGGCCCAACCCAAAGTTGGGTTAGGGTTGAAGGAATTTAGTTAGGGTTAGGGTTAGGGTTAGGGTTGGGGGTTAGAACTTAGGGTTGACCTCAACCCAACCTAACCTGGTTTGACTTGCAGCCCTAATTTGATGTTTGGGTTTCGGGTTTAATCGAACCACTTAGGTTCAAACCAGTTAAACCAAGTTGAACTATCTAATTGGATTGCCTTCGAACTAATCGCATCAAGAGCGGTTGAACCATTTGGGTTCGGATTAGTCCAATCGAACCAAATTGGACCGGTTCAATCAATGATGGATTGACTTGGACTAGCCCATATCAAGTTTGTGCACAAGTTTGGGACCAAACCGACTAGCCCAAAGCGGGTCAAGGGATGTAAATTGGACCTGTCCGGTTTTGGGTCGATTGTACAAATACAAGCCAACGGGATGATCCAAAACGGGTCAAAGCAAGTGTGTTATGGGCCCGGGCGTAGGATCTCGTCACGGGTCGGTCCACAGGGAGAAAGCCTTGCTTTCCCTTGCGCCTTCCCTTGTGTGCAAAACCTATTGTGGAAACTGAATGGGTGATTTGTCCAAGAGACCACCCGAACTCTCTTTACACTTCTCTTGACTGGAAAACTGAATGCCTTTACTTCAACTCGTAGCTCCTTAAATAAGAGATTACAGAAGGAAATTCCTTGTTGGATTCGACCAGGCTAGGGTAATCCAACTTAAACTCAAACTCCTAATGGTGACACAACTCTTACTTAAGATAAGATAAGATAAGGATAAGGATAAGGGATGAGGAATGGTGTAGCTGGCGGTGACTTGGCGAGCAGAGCTGATGTGGTAAGATAAGTGTGGACCCACCTTTATGAGCTATCGTGTGGGCCCCGCCCTACTGCTGCTGCCAGGCGGTGCGCGCATCTCACAGTGTTGCTGTCGTGAGGTGCATGCTGCTTCCGTGAGGTGCGTGCTGCTGTCTAGTGCTGTTGCTGCCTAGTGCTGCTACCGTGTTGCGTGCTGCCGAGCGGTGCGTGCTGCGCGCTGCCGGGCGGTGCGTGCTGTTGTGCGACCTGCTGTGCATGCTGCTGCCTATGACTGCGCCTACTACTTCTGTGTTTGCAACATTACACCCCTCTTGGACTACGAGCTTGTCCTCAAGCTCGAATTCAGGATGGGTGTCGGAAACACCGTCAAAGGAATCTTGGATGGCTTTGCCCTCCTGGATCGGGTTCCCATGGAGGGGTTTCATCCTCATCTTCCTCTTGTTTCACCAGGAAGCAGAAAAGTCTCTTGCACTTGTGCCCTACTGAGTAGATTTCATCGCAATTAAAACATTGCCCCCTCGCCCTGCGTTCTGCCATCTCAGCCCTGGACAAGTGCTTAATAGGGGGTGTACCGCCGCTGCTCCCCACACTGGATGTTGATCTGGAATTGGTGCTCGTCTGTGGCTTCCGTTCTAGGCTGGCTGCTGGATATGGAGCCATTCCGAGTGGTTCCCTGTTGGCTGCCAGCGAAGACCCTCCTCCAGTAGGCTTCGGGTTTGTCCAAGCCGCTGCTGGGCATCCCATGCTGGACGGCCCTCGGCTAATCTGCAGTTTGCGCTCGAAGGCTCGGGCTAAATTCATTGTCGTGACCAGGTTAGGCGGGCTCTGCATCTCTACATCAACTCTCAGGGGTTTCGGCTAGACCAGCTGTGAACATATCCACCTACTGGTCTGGGCGTACTAAAGAGGCCCTAGCGAGAAGGGTCTAGAACTGCTGCTGATACTCTACTACGGTCCCGGTCTGCTTGAAGTTAATGAGTTCCCTCAAGGGGTTGCTTGTTAATGGGGGTCTGAACCGAAGGAGGCAGTATGACTTGAACTGATCCCAACTAAGACCTGGTTCCTCCTGCTCCACTCGGTAGAACCAGAGCTGCGCTTCTTCGGTCAGGTGGAACGCGGCCAGGCTGACCTTTTCCTTCTCCTTCGTGCGCTGATTACGGAAGAATTGCTCACAACGGTACAACCATCCCATTGGGTCACCGCTGCCGTTGTATGAGGGAAACTCTAGACGACTGTATTTGGGTATGACCGCTGCTGTTGGGGGGGGCGTTTTGTCGTTCACTGGAGTCCTCGGCCCGATCTGGATGACGGCTGTTGTTGGTGGCCGCCTCTTCAGGACTCCTTTCTCTGGTGGAGAAGTATAACTCCAGTAGGCGCCGAAGCTCCTTGACATCCTCTTTGACTTCTCTTACTTCCGCATGATTTTCAACGAGTCGGTGTTCCAATTCGTGAACCCTGGATGATAGCTGCTCCATGTCGCCCATGACGCTAGGCTCTGATTCCAGAATGTTATGGGCCCGGGCGTAGGATCTCGTCATGGGTCGGTCCACGGGGAGAAAGCCCTGTTTTCCCTTGAACCTTCCCTTGCGTGCAAAACCTATTGTGGAAACCGAATGGGTGATTTGTCCAAGAGACCACCCGAACTCTCCGAAAGGGTGATTTGTCCAAGAGACCACCCGAACTCTCCTCACTCTTCTCTTAACTGGAAAACTGAATGCCTTTACTTCAACTCGTAGCTCCTTAAATAGGAGATTACAGAAGGAAATTCCTTGTTGGATTCGACCAGGCTAGGGTAATCCAACTTAAACTCAAACTCCTAATGGTGACACAACTCTTACTTAAGATAAGATAAGATAAGGATAAGGATAAGGGATGAGGAATGGTGTAACTGGCGGTGAGTTGGCGAGCATAGCTGATGTGGTAAGATAAGTGTGGACCCACCTTGATGAGCTATCATGTGGGCCCCACCCTACTGTTACTGTCGGGTGGTGCACGCGTCCCACAGTGCTACTGCCGTGCAGTGCATCCTGCGCACTGCCGGGCGGTGTGTGCTGCTGTGCGTGCCGCTGCCTATGACTGCACCTACTGCTTCTGTGTCAGCAACAAAGTGGAGCAGATTTTGGGCCAGATTGGATAGGGGTTCAAAACCATCCCATACGGTCCTGTTTCCGGATTCGGGTCAACCCAGAACAGCTTGTCCTAGGTCAGGTTCGGTTAGAACTAGGCTAACCGACCTAAATGAACTGAATCAAAGGATATTGATTTGAGACAAAACTAATTTTAGTCAATAATTAATAGAAAATTAATATATTAATTATAAATTATTTGATTTGAAGAAAATTAAAAAAATAGCTAAAAGATTAATACTATTATCCACAACTCAACCCAATCCATTTAAATTGAGCCGATGGATGATCAATAGATGATCAACCCATTTCCAACCTGCCAAATAAATGGACGAATTGGGTGGGTTCAGTGGATTGGGTTGTGGGTGTCTTTGGTGCCTCCTGTTCTTTTCATGGTTATATTTATTTCTTTAGGTAACGCTTCTTTATGGGGTAAAAAAACGGTGGAATCATGACTATCCAACGTGGACAGCCATTTTTTCCCTAAAATAATGGGTTTTGGCAACTCTTGGATGATTCGCCCCACAGAGATGCCAGTAATCCAAGAGTAACAAAATTCCTCAAAAAATAGAGTATACAGTCCTCATGAAGTTTGCTGATGCATAGAGAATACAGTTCTCAAATTCAATAATCAAGATGACAAATCAAAACAGAAAGTTCAATTTTTATTATTACAACTCTCAGGCTTTCTGAAACCCTCTCCATATTCAAAATAAAGACTGAAATTTCAGATAAAGGCAAAACATCTCGTGATCTGCTCTAGAAAGCCAAACAAATGATACCACACAAATAAACACATTACAAACTTACAAACCAATCTCCATGCATGATTTTTGAGATGGTACTAATGTACATCATTTCCTTGCTCCTGTTCTCTCCCTCTCTCCCTACCCAGCCCAGACACCAAACAAAAAAAGATTAGCATGTAAACAGACTAACCCCAACACCCTAGAATAGGTACCTGTTATTTACTTCAACATCAGTTGGAATCTAGAAGCTCGTGAGCACAGCTGATTAAATATCTCCATCACACTTTGAGCGCCCAGACTCTTAGAGATTTGTCATCATCTTTGCCATTTTCTCTCTGAAACAATTAGGATTTAATCTGTAAGAAATTGATATCAAGATGCCCTACCTTTCAGACTTTCAGCCACTGGTAATTGCTATCACGAGTTTAAATCAGCCCCCCACAACGTCCCACAGCATATCCCCGCCGTGTATTGGGAACATCTCCTGATGATGACACCATCATTTCTGGTATTATCATCGGGAGATATTCCCAATACACAGCGGGGATCCACTGTGGGGGGCTGATTTGATCTCTGCTATCAGTCTACTGGGAATCTAAAATTCCCTCAACAATCAAAACCTCATGGTTTCTGAATTACAAAGCAGATCCTTGACTGAAAAGAAAGATAAATGATAAATACCCTAGTGCAAAAGAATTCGGTCAGCTGCTGCTGCTGGCAAACAACAGGCAATCTTATAGTTCAGTAGTTTTATCTTAGTTAAGTACCCACTTATAACCCAAAAGTCCAGTGTTAAAGGAAAAGCAGGCTATCCAAGTTAGATTTCTATTATCCTTAGTAAATGTGATCTATGGCCACCGAAGGACCTTATAGGTACATGTTGAGATGCATTTTTCACAACTAAATGGAAGTCCCCATATTCAAAGAACTGCTAGGTCCTCAATATATCATACTGAAAGATTTTGTAAAGATTAGAGGCATGACTACCTGCAGAAACAGCATGTAGCCATGTACTAAACCTTGGCCTATAATCTGAAGTTACAGTGTCGCAATAGGAATAAGGCTAAAGCTTTATACCATAATTTAAAAACAAGCCAACAAAAATTACATTGTGATAAAAGGAATATCTAGAAGTTACCATGAAGACTATGTGCACCATTTCCCTTGACACCCTTTTGTGCTTGGGACATGGACCGCTGCATGCGAGGGGAGCCCTCCTTTCCATTTGCACCAGGGAGGGAATGTCGCTTCTTCATGTAAATATCTTTGTCTTGCACATCCGGACTTGACCTTGGAGAATTGTGGGCATGAGCCTTGGCCCTAGCAGATTCTGTCGCTTGCATATAACCAGGGAGGGAATTACTGCTACCACTATCCCTTCTCTCTTGGTCAATATGATCAGGTCTGGTTGAACCAAATGAGTTGCGCCTCTTTCCATTTTTCAGGTCCTTGGGCAATTGTTCTGTGCTACTTCTGACACTTGAATCAGGGCTGTGATTTGCTGGGGATCTTTTACCGGCTGATTCGGAGGTTCGAGCTTGAGTTGCCCTACTTTTATCAGATTGATTCCTTTTAGCTTTCACTGATACCTGACTTGAAGGTGTTCCATGTGATTCAGTTACAGTTACATGACTTCTTGGAGACCCTTCTGGTGATGATCTGTAAGCTCGTTGATTAATGACCTGGTCCAGTTGGATCTGGACATCTGATGCACTTCTCTCTGTCTGCTGCTCTACCACCAAGGAACCAGCTGCTACAATTGAATCAACTGATTCTCCATTAACATCTTCATTCTTTTCTAGTTGATTGGATACAAAATGGGATGGAATGGACAGGGACGTGGAGGGAAGAGTATTGTCTTCTACAGCTGGATCTCCAATAGTAGATGAATGATCAGTAAAGTCACTTGGATCAGTGGTCCCTCTTTCTGCAACTTTGGCTTCAGAATCAAATTCTCCTCCAACTTCAGATCTATCAGGTGAATCAAGAGTGGAAGAAACAGAAAGTTCAATCCCACAATCAGAGCCACCAATTTGAAACCTTGAATCATGAGATGTGGAATTCTCTGTTGGACTGGTATCCTTTGCCCTTGTTATAGAATTGGCAGGAGATGAGATGGTTTGCCGTTTGGATTCTACTCCAACATTTGGACAGGTAGAAGCAATCAACCTGCCTGAGGTAGCCGTTGAACTCAGCTCTTCAAATTTAGACTGGGCAGCAATAAATGCAGGATTACATGCCTTTCTTGACCCAAGTCCAAATTTCTTTCCTTCAGTCTCTAATTGTTCAGAGGCTGCCCATTTTACAGTAAGTTTTGGTTGTTCATTGTCCATCTCAGGCTTCTCAGAAACAGAACTAGCCAACATAGAAGAACTTGCACCTGGTTGCGATTCTGTTTGATTGGGAGGCAAATCTATCTTTGACAAGGTCTCTTGTGCTTTGTCAAAACCCACATCTTTCAGCTGAGCCTGTTCATGGTCATCTCTTGCTGAAGAGGAGGTTGGGCAACAAGCCTGGAAATCATAGTTATTTGCATCATAAGTAATCAAATTCTCTTCACTCTCAAGTGAGGTTTCTGTTTCCCTAATGTTGGACTTCAAATCTGCTGTCTCAGAAACAACTTCAGCTGTAATTTCAGTTCCCACTTCAGAAAAAATTGTTCCAGCCTTCTCTCCTTGTTCTTGATTCTCCAGACGGTCCAGCCTCTGTGACTGTGCAAACTCTGATGATGATGACACAGCCATCCACCTCTCCAACCATTTCCATGCAGAATCATGTCTCAAAGGATCACATTTTATTTGAATTGGTTTTGTCTTTGGTGTTGATTGTAAAAGCTTATGGTGCCAAAAACTATCAGTGTCAGTAAAAGGATTAACCATTGCCAACAACGATGCAGGCAAAAAGGAAAGAAATAATTTATCATACCTGACGAGCAAATCCATTGCTGAGCAGCTTCTCAGTAGAAGAGCTTATTTGATTTGCTTTGGTTCCAAAGCCATCATTTCCCTGAAACAAAAATATGGATCAGACAGTTACAGATTGCAGAAACAATCCTATTGTGAAGGAAGCATAGGGAGAGAGAGTCTAAATCCACAACTATTAGACAATAAAATGTAATCTTTCTCATGAAAAGAAACTAAAGAGTTTTCAATAAATGTCAATCCTTGATAATAACAGGAGCTCATTACAATGCAGATCAATCAAGAAAGCAATAATGATGAACCACAGTAATAGTTGGTAACCAAAAAGGAAGTCTAAGCGAGTCTGGACCACAGTAAAAGTTGGTCAAAGGATTGCACCAGGTTGAACATGCTCACATCTAGCCCATGGTTGGTAATCAAAAAGGAAAGAAAAAAAATCACTGTGCAGAAGGTTATTAGTATTACTAGCCAATACTATATCATTAATTTTCATCCCTTATTAACAAGATAAGGAATTTATGAGTCTTTTGTATTTGCAATAAATTTGGGAATGGCAGAAAACATCTGACAGTATAAACATTACCATGGTTTGATTATTCTTCTCATGTTTCCCATTGAGCTTCTCTTCAGAGACCAACCCTTCTGCTAATGTATGTGCACGGCGAGCACGCACCAAAGCTTGCATTTTGACAATGGCCTGAACACAACGCAAAGACCCCACTGCCTGCCTCCGGACCAAATGCCCGCGCATAGCTGCTTGCAACTTAATGACATTCTTGAGTTTCAATAGTGTAATTCGTGCCTGAAAAGGTGATCAAGGAACCACATTAACAAGGAAATGCATGTTACACACCAGAAATATGTTTCACAACAATGGGAAGAAAAAGTACCAAAAATCCTCTGATAGCAGCCTGGATGACAATGGCATCAGATTCCTGCAGGTTATAATCAGCTTTGCTTACATCATCTGCGGCAACTAAGGGATCAAGTATTTTTGGGTTCTCAGTGATCAACAACTGTGTTGTCTCATCTGCCCCTTGTGATGCAGAGATCTTCTCAGGAACCATAGGGTTAGTTGATGGATGAAAGTCGACAGCAGTGGTTTCTGGGCTCTCTTTATTCCCAGTAGATGGGGTTTCTGAGATCACAGTATTGATTAGCACCCGATGCCTGGCAGATCTTTTCCTGAAACTCCATCCACGCTTGTCCGTTGACCCTTTGCTCTGGATGACATCCAATCAAAAGAGACCCTTTTAGCATATTTCTTGAGTGTGATAATATTAAATTCTTGCTGATTGAAAAAAAGTTAATATATTACCCAGCCTTGATCACAACTCTATTCTATTATTTCTGCTAGGAGTAACATTAGATTGCATACAAAGACCAGCATCAAAATTCTTATAAATTAGATCCCAGCTTCCTTTTAATTAACCATTAATGCTTAGCTTAATAGCTTTTGGACATGATCTTGTTAATTTTCCGTCATTCCAAGTTTTAATTAGATGTCCCTCTGAACCGTACATTCTACCAACATAATGGCCCAGGTTATTAATCCTTGCCACTAGATTTCAACTAGTTCTCTGCATAAGGGGCCTTTAGCAACAGTTACTTCAGATGTCCATTGTCAGCTACAAGATTTCATGGGAAAACATTACATCCTTTGTATAGAGGCAGACAGCATAAACTTTGGCATAAAATCTGTAAACCATCGGCTAAATAGGAGCCAAGCAGTGATTAAAAATGCATAGAAGTAATGAGCTAGTTTGTTCTGGCTCCATGCCCTAACTGGTGACACCCATGAAGGGTTTCATACACAAACCTGTTGCCTCAAAGGCCCATGTCTTTTATATTTGTCTCTGGGTAATGGAAAAAGCACACCAAAAGATTCCCAAACATTTAATAAGGTAACTATTACCATATTGACTAAGTCGTTACATGCTCTCTTCATTTAGAGATGATTGATGATAAGAACTACACCACCTCATTTAAGCTCTTCAGAAGGCAAGATATAGTGTACTGACAATACCACTTTATCCAAAATCCAATCAGAAAAAAAGATAAGAGGAAACAACAGACCATCATGGTTATCCCACTAGTTGCAAACATAAAATACCATAAGTATGGATAAAATCTTAATAGGCATCTCATAAAGAAACACAAGGATGAATATGTCAACTTGCACTTTCCTAGTTCAACCACCATCTTGAAAACTCAAAATCTTCCACTATCCAACCATGAGAAAGATATAGTCTAGCATCTGTGATCTTTGATGCTTTATCTTTTCTATTTCAAAAAATACCAAGCTTTGAAAGACCCTATAAAGGGGGTTTCCATAACCCAGAATGTGATAAAAGTTAGAACCAACAATGTGACAACTTCTCATCCGCACTTGTGGATAAATAAATTTTGTCACCAGTAAATCCTTTCCAATTATCAATTAAAACAAGACATAGCCCATCTTAAGAGAAGCAGTCTGAACTGACTAAATCATCTGTGCTCAGTGCTATTCGGGATTTTTAAGCTGGAGGTACTCAGAATGGATCAGTTTCAAAGCAAAAGACTGAAATTGATTATTATGCTTAAACCATATGGATACCATATCTGCCCATTTTTGAGATTTCTATTTCAACAGCATGCACTTTCACTTAAGAACATCCACAGAGTTGTGATGCTTTGGCATTCATCTATGTGCTTGCAACTCTGTCCAACCAATATGCCTTTGAGAAAAACATACAAATTGATGCTAGTCTTGCTAGATATAGAAGGTATTTGCCACAGTTAAATAAATAGATAAAATAATGGACACTATAATGGAAATGGCTTGATGAGAATAGACATTATGGTCCTACAACATCAGAAATCTGTAACTAGATACAATCCCCTTGAACTTCATTATGCGTACAGCGGAATTATAAGAAAGACAACTTAAATTGCTTAAATGAAAAAAAAAATCAATAATAGAAAAAAGAAAAATATCTCACGTTTCATCTGACGATCGAGTAAAGGAGTTGTGAGAATAGTTTTCATTTATTCAGTGATTCCATACGAGGTCCTCAAAGAATTAACAAAGTGATCTAGAGCATGGACTGTAAATTTTAAGGGGGATGGGTTTAAAGGGCAATAGAGATCAGTATGAATGTGCATTCAAAAACCAGACTTACGGTATAGATCTGCTGTGATTTACAGATCACAATTACGAAAGGTATAGATATATGCATACGGATCATATATTCAACAATATCGATCTCCAAATACCGAATTCAAAAGCGAGTAAGATTGACCATGCCGGACGAAAAGCCCAGGCGAAATTAAAATCCATGAGGTTAAGCTGAACTCGAAAAGCGATGGTCTCAATCTAGTGGCCTACATTATCCATTTCTGAAAGCCACTGAAGTTTGATGTCATACAACTACAAGGAAGCCTCACTCGGCAAAAGAACAACCGAAAGAAACAAATCAAATTAAGACGGCATCCAACAATCACTACTCATAATTCTAAACCACTCCGCGTTGACTGAATCAAACATAGAAGAAAAAGAAATGCAAACGAAACAAACGGGTCCAAACCCTAATGCTCTGCTTCCATGAACATTAAAACCGAAGAAAGAGAAAAATTAAAAGCACTAGAATCCGGAACAGACCGAGAATCTCTTGAAGAGAAAAATAAAAGAGATACCTCAGTCCGTTGAAGATCATCCTTATCAACAGAGTCGCTGCCACATGTAATGATCTTGAAACAGGAAGTGGAGGATCTCACCATGTTTCCTTCTACCCGTCTCTGTTCCCCTCTCGTCTGTCGTCTCTGAGACCTCACTCAGAGAAGAAGCTCGTTGTCAGCTTATTTTTTGCCTTATAAGTTGGAAAATCCGGAAGCAAGGAGCTTGAGCTTGACAAGTCGGACCTTACCACTATTCTAAACTCTAGCTGAATCTTACATTGGAGTCCGGCATTTATCGGATCCGTTTCCTCCTCCAGTCCAGCTCCAGCTCCAGCTCCTACCCTGCCCGTTGGTTTGAGAGAAAGAGAAGATGTAGAGACTAGAGAGAAAAAGAAAAGAAAAGAAAAGAAAAAAAAAAGAGAGAGAAAGAAAAGTTGTCAGGTCATCTACCCCGGTTTCCTTTCCGAAAAAATATCAGGATAACGAGAGATAATCTGCAGCGTTTATTTCAAATTTTATTTTAAAAAATGAAAAAAAAAAAGAAATTCTAAATATCTTACTTATCTGGATCGTTCACGAGACTCGCGATAAATTGCGGTTGTCTGATTGTCTCTCATCGGATCGGAACGTCTCGTTCTTTACTTTTGTTGGGTGCCGTTTGGTAATTCGGATTTTTGTGTAACCCTTCACTCTTTGCAATTTCACGCGTGGCAGAGAGTCAGAGACCAGAGTCCGGGAAGCGGTGAGCCACTCGTGAGCTCACACACACACCAGCGACAGCGAGCAGGGACATCGGCCAAGGGCCAACGTCAAAGCGCGATTGAAGGGGGGAAAAGAGGATAAAGAGAGTGGATGTTTCGGACCGTAAGGCGTTAACAAAGATGTTTGATTTGTATGATGTGACGATTTAGAAGCTAAAGCTTTTTATTATAAAACACACAATTTAATATTTGTTATGTCGTTGAGAGATGGTTCGGGTTGACGGACGTGTCTTTTTTGTAGGAGATAGCTTGCAAATTGCATAAAACCATAAAAGGGAAAACGCCATTTAATTTTGACATCCTTTCTTGTTATGTATGTTTTGGGTTTTGGGGTATATTAACGCCAACGTAAAAGAAAAAGTTGCATTGCGGGCCTTGCGGATGCGGGCCCTAGTAATGTACGGTACCTCTTTCCAGTTTTCGCCATATTAATTGGGATCTGTTACTCAGAAAGCGCGCCTCACGCCGATTTCACATTTACAATTAATTCGAATTTTTGCGGATGCTGTGAGGTTGGCGTGAGACACGTTCTCACAGAGGGACGCCTCACAAGCACATCCACCGTGCATCGAAAATGTCCGTGAATAATAACTTATAAATACGGAAGATGTTTCCAATGCATGGTAGGATATGCATGTGAGGCGCGTGTGAGGCGCCCTGTGTGAAGAGCAGATTCAGTCTCCTTCTCTAAAGATCAGATCCGGACTCATTTACAACAAATCTTGTACTATTTATCACCACTAGTATTTGTTAGGAAAAATTCTCGATCAGTATCCTCTACTTTGGTTCGAGTGACAATTTGGTCCCCGAACTTTAAAATGTGATAATCCAACACCCGAACTTTCAAAATGTGGCAATCCAGTACCTACTGTTAACTAGTCTATTAATCAGTCGTTAAGTGGCATTTGAAAAGTCAAAAATGCTCTTTGAAGGCCATCTAATTATCTTTATCAACCATCCAAATGTTGACAAAAAAGCTGAACAGTCCCAAATCCTAGCCTCTTCTATTCAAAAAAGTTGGTGACTGTTTAGAAGAATCTAGAATTTGGGATTGTTCATTTTATTGTCAATGTTTGGATGGTTGATTAAGAGAATTAGATGGCATTCTTAGGGCATTTTTGACTTTTCAAATGTCACTTAACGGCTGATTAACGGATTGGTTAACGGTAGGTACTAGATTGTCACATTTCGAAAATTTGGGTATTGGATTGTCATATTTTGAAAGTTTGGGTGCTGAATTGTCACACTTCAAAGTTCGGGGACCAAATTGTCACTCAAACCAAAATACAAAGTACTAATCAAGAATTTTCCCTATTTGTTTCTTGTTGGCTTCTTAACATATCTACTAATGGTGGGGGCCCTACGTTGTAGGGGCTCACTCATAAACTATCAGGCTCGAGCTTGATTCGAATTAGAGACTTGAGCTCGAGCTCGAGCTTCGCTCGAGTCAAAAGCTCGAAAGTTCAAGCTCGGTTACCTTTGATTGCATGTCTCTCAAGCAACCGAGGTGCCGAGTCGAGGTCTCCCTCAATTGCTGAGGTGCCAAATTGAGGTCTCCCTCAGTTGTTGATGTGTCGAGTTAAGGTTTCCCTAGTAGGTGAGGTGTCGAGCTAAGGTCTCCCTTAGTTGACAAGGTGTCGAGCTGAGGTCTCCCTCAGTTGTCGAGGTGCTGAGCCGAGATCTCCCTCAATGACTGAGGTGCCGAGCCGAGGTCTCCCTCAGTGGTCGATGTGTCGTCTAGCTCGAGCTCGATTCAAATTAGAGACTTGAGCTTGAGCTCAAAAGTTCAAGCTCGGCTCGGCTCGAACTCGACTACCTTTGGTTGCAAGTCCCCTAGCAATTGAGGTGTCGAGTTGAGGTCTTCCTTAGTTGGAGAGAGTGGCATTCTTGTAATTTGTAAGAAAGAGAGAGAAAGAGAGAGAGAGTTGGTAGGAGAGAGAGTGGCATTATTGTAATTTGAAAGAAAAAATCAAAAGAGATAGTTGGTAGAGAGTGATATTCTTGTAATTTCTATGAAAAAAAGGCAAAAAATACTATTAGATTCCATTTGCTGCATTCTCAAGCCTTCGGTAGTACACATTTCGGCTTAATAGATTTATTAGTAGAGGGGGCCCTGTGTTGCAGGGGCTCGCTCATAAACTATTAGGCTCAAGCTCAATTCGAATTAGAGACTTGAGCTCAAGCTCGAGCTTGGCTCGAGTTAAAAGCTTGAAAGTTCACGCTCAGCTACCTTTGATTGCAGGTCTCTCAAGCAGCTGAGGTGCCGAGCCGAGGTCTCCCTCAACTGCTAAAGTGTCGAGCTGAGATTTCCCTAGTAGGCAAGGTGTCGAGCAAAGGTCTCCCTTAGTTGACAAGGTGCCAAGTTGATTGAGGTCTCCCTCAGTGGTTGAGGTGTCGTCCAGCTTGAGCTTGATTCAAATTAGAGACGCGAGGTGTTGAGCTAAGGCCTCCCTTAGTTGACAAGGTGCTGAGTTGAGGTCTCCCTCAGTTGTCGAGGTGCTGAGCCGAGACCTCCCTTAGTGACCGAGGTGTCAAGCCGATGTCTCCCTCAGTGGTTGAAGTGTCGTCTAGCTCAAGCTCGATTCGAATTAAACACTTGAACTTGAGCTTAGAAGTTCGAGCTCGGCTCGGCTCGAACTTGACTACCTTTGATTGCAGCTCCCCTAGTAGCCGAGATGCCAAGCTGAGGTCTCCCTTAGTTGGAGAGAAAGTGACATTCTTGTAATTTATAAGGAGAGAGAGAGAGATGGCATTCTTGTAATTTGTAAGAGAGAGAGAGTGGCATTCTTGTAATTTGAAAGAAAAAAAGCAAAAGAGAGAGAATTGGCAAAGAATGGCATTCTTGTAATTTCTAAGAAAAAAAGCAAAAAATAATGTTAGACTCCATTTCCCTCATCCTTAGGCCTTCTTACGTACACATTTCAGCTTAATATATTTATATAGATGATTAAATAGAAAAAAAATGAGACTTGAGCTCATAAACTATCAAGCTTGAGCTCGAGCCCGGCTCGAGACAAAAGCTCGGAAGTTCGAGCTCAACTACCTATGATTGCAGGTCTCTCAAATAGTCAAGGTTCTAAGCCAAGGTCTCCCTCAATTGCCGAGGTGCCAAGGTCTCCCTCAATTCCCTAGCAGACGAGGTATTGAGCTAAGGTCTCCCTTAGTTGACAAGTTGCCAAGCTGAGGTGTCCCTCAGTTGTCGAGGTGCTGAGCCGAGATCTCCCTCAATAACCAAGGTGTCGAGCCAAGGTCTCCCTCAATGGTCGAGGTGTCATCTAGCTCAACCTCGATTCGAATTAAAGACGTGAGCTTGAGCTCAAAAGTTCGAGCTCGGCTCGAAACTCGACTACCTTTGATTGTAGGTCCCCTAGAAGTCGAGATGTCGAACTAAGGTCTCCATCAGTTGGAGAGAGAGTGGCATTCTTGTAATTTATAATGAGAGATAGAGATGGCAGGAGAGAGAGAGAGATGGCATTCTTGTAATTTATAAGGAGAGATAGAGATGGCAAGAGAGAGAGAGATGGTATTCTTGTAATTTATAAGAAAAAGAGAGAGAGTTGGTAAGAGAGAGTGGCATTCTTGTAATTTGAAAGAAAAAAAAAGCAAGAGAGAGTGGCATTCATGTAATTTGAAATAAAAAAAGCAAAAGAGAGAGAGAGTTGGTAGATAGTGGCATTCTTGTAATTTCTGAGAAAAAAGGCAAAAAATAATGTTAGATTTCATTTCCTTCATCCTCAGGCCTTCTTACGTACACATTTCAGCTTAATATATTTTACTAGTGGAGGGGGCCCTACGTTGTAGGGGGCTCGCTCATAAATTATCAGGCTCGAGCTCGATTCAAATTAGAGACTTGAGCTCGGCTCGAGTCAAAAGCTCAGAAATTCGAGCTCGACTACCTTTGATTACAGGTCTCTCAAGTAGCCAAGGTGCCGAGCCGAGGTCTCCCTCAATTGCCGAGGTGCCAAACCGAGGTCTCCCTCAACTGTTGAAGTATCGAGCTGAGGTTTCCCTAATAGACAATGTGTCGAGCTAAGGTCTCCCTTAGTTGACAGGGTGCCGAGTTGAGGTCTCCCTCAGTTGTCGAGGTGCTGAGTTGAGATCTCCCTCAGTGACAGAGGTGCCGAGCCAAGGTCTCCCTTAGTGGTCGAGGTGTCATCTAGCTCGAGCTCAATTCGAATTAGAGACTTGAGCTTGAGCTCAGAAGTTCGAGCTCGGCTCGACTCGAACTCAACTACCTTTGATTGCAGGTTCCCTAGTAGTCGAGAGAGGGTGATCGCATCTTGTAATTTGTAAGAAAAAGAGAGAGTATGACATTCTTGTAATTTGAAAGAAAAAAGAGCAAGAGAGAGAGAGAGAGTTGGTAGGAGAGAGTGGCATTCTTGTAAATTGAAAGAAAAAAAAGCAAAAGAGAGAGGGTTGGTTGAGAGTGGCATTCTTGTAATTTCTATGAAAAAAAGGCAAAAAATACTGCTAGATTCTATTTCCTTTATCCTCATTCCTTCTTACATACACATTTCAGCTTAATATATTTATATAAATATAGATATTAATATTAGTTTTTTAAATTGTATGTATAGGAAAGGCTTTGTAATCAGGTGTTCTTTTGTATTACATAAGTGGGGGATTAAGGGGTGGGGATAGAGTGGGTGGGGTGGAAGTTATTACAATTATTCAGATTTAATCTCAATGAATTTGCATCAGCTCCCCACAGTACATCCCAACTGTGTATTGCAAATATCTCCCCATGGCAAGTATAGGAGATGTTCCCAATGCACGGTGAAATGTGTATGTGGAGCAGGTATGGGATGTCAATCTGAACTCGATCTCAATGCCTCTATTATTGGAAGGATGCGAGAGACTATCTTAGAGCTTGAATCTCCCAACAGCAAAAACTTTGTGCATATGACATTCAGCCAAACATCAGGAATATCTCTTATTAAATGAGGTTTAAATTTATTGGAAGATGCTCCGGATATGCAGTTAGATGCCCATGCTTTTAAAATGTGTACATAGTTTTTGTTTTCAAATTAA